TTACAATTCTGCTAAAAAATCCCCTCATGACAACACATATATATAGAGTATGGACTTCCCTACTTCCGCAAACATTCCCTCATTCTTGGACTCATATGTGGTAATACCCTTGGCCTTGAGCTTCAAACTAGCATTGATGACAATAACTTCAGCAAAACAGAAAACAAAAATGGCCGTATCTCTTTGACAATTTCAGAGGTTATTTCTCTCTGACTTGTATATATGCTTTGTGTTTTGAATGAATTTTGAAATCGAGCCATATGCATTTGTTACTAATATTTTAAAAGGGATGGGTGAGCTTTATGGTGTGGTGTTCATGAACAATGTGATGGTTTGGTAATCTTCTTGGGGCTTGTATACATAAGAGATATTTCATCCATTAAAAGCAAATATATGTTATTCACAAGATCATTTAATATCCATAAAACAAAACCAGTCTATTGTAGATAGCATGCCCCTTAATCTAAACTTGTTTGGAACTACATTCTCTAATTAAAGAGGGCATGCACCAATTTAGAGCTTTAGGTTAAGATCAATGGAGGAGTCTCCTGTTTTTTCAGTACAAAATTTCTCATTTTTTAAGCTTAGAGTAGCTTCGGCTGCACCCTTTTGGTCTTCTGGTGATAATAAGAATCTAAAGAAATTCTTGTTGTGAACTGATACTTCTGATCCTGATGATGACCTTTGGAGCAACCCCTCAGTGTTTTCCTTCATTTCCTGAAAATGAAAAAAGACAAACAAAAGTAAAGCACAATGAAAATCATGCAAGCAAAACACACTTTTCAAACCAAGCAAAATGAAAACAGATTCCCTTTTAAAGTTCAATATCTTACTTGGAAAGGGAATCGCTTGATGAATTTGGAGATGTCTGGTTGACAATTTTGAGTTGATGGCAAAGGAGTTGTTGGAGAGCCTAATGGGGGGCCACTGCCATTGCTACTAGGGTTCCCATGATAATTGACACATGTTTTTACTTTCAGCTCCGAAGGGCTACTCGGCATTGGGTCTCTGATAATGTCAAAAGCCCCAAAAAAGATAAATATAGCCAAAATTACTTAAAATTATGAGCTGGTGAGGATGTGGAACCTCATGTATTTACATATATTAATGAAAATATCAGGTGAGGAGGCTAACCTGGATGCTGTTCCGAGATTGAACCCACCATGGTTGCTGGACGAAGATGAAGGATCAAGCCTGGAAATCTGAAGGTGGAAAGGGGGAAGTTGACATGGCATATGAGGAGGAGCTGGTGGCCAGTTGTCGACAGGGAAATTAGGCCTTGGCCGCTTGGCGCCGATCATCTAATTAAAATAAGTAAATTTGGCATTAGGAAGGACTCCATATTCGCAGTTGATCCTTCTCAATCAATAAAACAAGTCAGATTAAAGGCCTATATATAGAATTTTTAGATAAAGAATCGAATTCACATGCAGTTACACTCACTAAGTTCTAGTTTCATCGACTGTGTTGAGAACCGATGATAATATATTTAGAATATGTTGTGAAATGTTGGTTTAGTTATCATCTTCTCTTACATTTTTAATTAAAGCATCCTTAAAGAGAAGCAAAGAACTGAATCCACATTGAAATGGGTGAAGAAAAACAGCACAAAAAACGTGAGCATTCAAATTAAAGAATTATATTTATATATTTAGCCAAAAAAAAAAAAAAAGGAAAGAAACCCATGTAGCAGATTTTCTGATTTATTAAAAGAATCAAGAGAACTATATATATAATTAAGACAAACATAAATAAAATATACAGCATTTAAATTTGCACATGCCTTGTCTTCCTCAGGCAATGTAGTTGTGTAGTTGTGACAAGATTTTTGGTTTGAAGGGGGCTCAATATGATGATACATCCCTGCAGATGATGATGATGGGGTTGATGAAGACGATATTGTTGACGGCGGAAAAAGATTCATCTGCTTGAATTCATGATGACAAATCTTGAAATTAGAAAGAGTAGAAATAATCACAAATTTAATTAAAAAATTGCATAAACTTGACAATTTCTTGATTTTTACCATTGGAGGATGGCAAGGGCCATGGTTCTTTTGCAACATGGGAGGAGAAAAAATTTTGTTATGATCAGATCTGTTTGAAACAAGTATAGGAAATGAAAATTCAGTAGCCGTTTTAGAACTTTCCTCGCCTTTTCTTGTCTCAGGGGAGCCCCACGTTATTGGCAATAACGTTTGTTCAGGCAAAAATACGCCTGATCCGCCAATATAGACTCCTTTACTACGACCATTACCATCCATACTGCCCCACTGTGAATTACCCTTAAGATCACAACTACCATTAACATGGAGGGTCGTCACTGGAGGAAGAAGTGGAGTACTAGGAGTACTGTTGCAGAGATGATTATGATCAGGAAGGAAAGGAACAATTTGTGGTAAAGAATTTGAGGAGGAGGCAAAGGAAGAACAAGGAGGAGGAAAAGTATTGGGAAGAGAGGGAACTAAGGACGAAGAGATCCCTCCAATTATCTCTCCTTTCTCTACTTGACCATCTTTTTTCTCTTGTTCTCGCAATATCTTTTCTAGTTCAGCCACTCCAGGGCCTCTTTTGGGGATTCTTTGTTTCTTTCCCTTCCTCAAACTAGAACTTTCATAGTCGTCATGATCACCCACCACACCACTGGCATTGGTAACCCCACGAACACCAACGTTGTTGCCTGTATTGTTGCTGCACATTGGTCTGGTTTTCCTGCACGAACACCAATGTAATAAGGCATTAAAAGACCATCAATCTAAACATTTAAATAACAAAGACGAAGCAATGAAAGTGGTAAGAAATCCCTATTTTCAAGATCGCAAATCTAAAAGAAGAAACAAAAATCACTCAAAAAACCGAGATACAAGAAAATGAAATCTCGAAAGATGTATAGAGTTGAAAGAGGCTACTTATGCGTAATGAAGAAGCGGCACTAAGGAAAGTCTACCCCTGTTTTAAGCGGATAAAAGATCTTATAAAGAGAAAAAAACGATGTTATAAATTTGAACTTAGCTATCATCGAAATCCCTTTGTCAGTAGTGAGTATATAAGAAGATGAAACTGTCCAAGAGAGTTGCTGCTTTGCTAGTGCTTTTGTTCATAAAGGTCCAAAGCAGTATGTGTCTCAAAATCTCTGAAAATCTTTGTCATTTTCATAAGCAGTTGTTGGGAGTTTTTAAATGCCACTGCCCACTTTAGAGTAACACATTTTCATGGAATTTAAGGAGTTTGTTATGGGCCCCACTTAGAATAATAAGACATTAATTGGTGCTAATTTTGGTTAGTAGTTCGGAAGTAGACCCCAATTTTGCCAAGCATTAACGTTTGCATGAATGAAAAGCCTTATTAATTCAAGGTAATTTTAAAATAGATTATGAACATGGTTTAAAATTTTAATAAAAATTATAAATGAATTTAATAAAAAAATATATTTTTAAATCGACACAAATTATAACGTATAAAATATAATATAAATATATAAATTATTAATATTTTATATAATAAAAAAATATTAATTGACAAATCTATTTGAGAACTCAAGTAGAGGGGTTCTTATTATATTGGAAAGTGCATTGGATTTAAAATGCACTATTTATGCGGTGAAAATTTTTTTAATTGGATTTTCAAGTAAACCCTCAACAATGAATAGATCATATAAATTAAGAAAAAAAAACACATAAATTTAGTTTTTATAAATAAAAATATAGTACTTGAATATTCAATTTCTCAATCTTGAAAAATTAATTAGATAACTATATTTATGTTATAAAATCGTATAAGAAACTTTTGTTAAAAATAATTTCATTAAATAATTAATGAATTAATAATTAATTACCATAAAGAATAATCATATACAAAAAAGGAATTAAGGAAAGCTTCACTAATAATGGGAAAACATTGGTAAATTATGGTAATAAATGAAAGAGGGAAAAAAAAAAAATCCCCAGGTGAAAAGGCATCTTTGATATTAAAAACATACTAAAATTTCACAACTAGATTCAAACCTCACTGCCTGTTAAAGCAAATCTTTGTTCGGGAATCAATGTAAATTTAGTATGTTTGCCCTAAAAATTTTTTTTTTCCCTTTTCTTGTTTTTATCATTAATTTACCTGTGCAATAATAGGGTGGCTGGTTGAAAATTTTGGCAAGCAACAAAATTGTTGGTCGCATGGGTTAGGAGAGATGATCATCTTATGTCATTATAAAGAGCATCTTCAAATCATCATTAAGTCCTTTAATTGAATATATATATATATATAGGAAGAAAAATTAATTTATATTATATAAAATTAAAAAAATTTTACGCTGTATGAGTTGATCTATCATGTATATATATTTATGAATCTAAAGGTGCAAACAAGGGAAAAATTTTAGGTTTTGAAATTAATTAAATAAAAATTCCATTTATGAGAATTCTTATTTTAAATTGGACTATTGATTTAGCCTGAAGCTAATAGCATTGATGCTTCCATCAGCAAATTTCTTTACATGGTTAATTTGAAGCTCTAGAAAATGATTGTATGACAACTGCCTATAACTAGTTTGAAAGCATTCAAATTTCAATTCAATCCTAACTCTTATTGATTAGTTTATAGAGATTTAAGCCTTAATTCTTTTGCCAGATTAATTTCTTTTTCTTACAACAAGATCTCCTAAATTAATTGATAATTACTTCACCCAGTTAGTATCAAAAGATATATACAATATGTACCAAAAAGAACAGATTTATACCAAAGATTTGCATTTAGTTTTGGAAAGTAATTTTTTTAAAAAAATATATGAAAAAGAATAATGAGCTTTGAATTAATCTCTCCATAAAAGATGATCCATTAATATGTAAAAATAAAATCAAAAGAAAAAGAAACGATTAATTAAGGTATAAACTATAAACCCCTTGTCCACATTTAGCATAAAGTTTTTATCTTTTTTTTTTTTTAATTTGTTCATTGCTTCATTATTTATCAAGATAAATCTCTTTGTATCTTGGAATCAAGATATATAAATATATATACTCCCTTCTTACATAATATTTCTTAAGAATATTGAGCAGCTGGTTTCAAACGAATTTACTTAGACTACTAATACATGTAGAAATAATAACCAAGTAATAACCCTACATAAAAAAAAAAAAAAAACTAAGTAATAACCCTAAAAAAGACAATATTTTCTAGAAAAATTAATAAAATGATTTTACCCATCACTGGCTCTCTAAATCTTGACTATGACTCCTACTTGATGATCTCTCCTTACCAAGCATCCTTCTAAAGGAAGCAAATCGTGATCCTGACCCTGATGGTCCACCTTCCTTTTCCATTTGGGCTGCACTATCAGACGCGTTTTCCTCTATAGGAGGAGCCGTGGGATGAACCCTGCTGCCAAGCCCCTTGTCCTCTGGCGCCTGGAACGTCGGTTCAGCCACGGTGCGACATATGGGGCAAGTTGTATTTGATCCAAGCCACGAATCTATACACTCCACATGAAATATGTGCTTACAATTTGGTAAAAGCCTGACCATGGATTCCTCCGTGATGGTTCCCAAACAAACCGAGCATTCCGTGGGCTCATAATGATCAACCTCGCTGGTGGTTAGGTTGTATGTGAACTTCGGCAATGAGGCTATGACCAAAGGGTCGAGCCCTGACATGGGTGCCTCGTTGATGGAACTTCCACCGATCGTTTCAATTTGAGTTCTCAGGGAATACAGGGCGGCACGTCGTCTCCTTTCTTCGCGTCTCAGAAGATACCTTCCATAGAGATGAAGCAATATCATGAGCATCACAACTCCAAGTAAAGAGGCAATTGCCGCGACCATGATCGTGCGGCTGAAACCAAATTTTCTAACATCGTCATCTTTCGGACCCATAGTTGGCCTAATTTCTCTTCAACGGAAGCCAATATTAGAGGTATATATATAACAAATTCTATGAGAAGAATCTTCTTTGGTTTTAGCTTTGTAATGTGAATTGTAAGAAATGCTGTGCGCAGGGCATTGAATAATAAACTTTTAGAGCAGGATATATATTGTTGAAGCTAGCTACCCAAGCTTTCATTTCCTGCCATGAGTTTGACTTTACAATACTCCTAACATTGTTTACCAATCTATGTCTATATAATAGTGCGTTAGCTGAAGAATTAAGAAAAATGAATATTGATTGAAAGAGATACTTAGTTTCCAAGTCTACGGCGTACATAAAAAATTTCCAACGATATTTGGTGTAAAATCTTCAACCATAGGTAATGCCGCTTGATTTACGTAACCTATTGTCAATTACATGTTGACATTATCTTTCCGTAAGCAGACTGAAATATTAATAGTTTAATACCATTAAACAATTAACTTAAAAGGGTGACTATCATCTTCCATGGTCAAGTCCTAATTTGAGCTACAAATTTCCTCTTTCCCGAATGACTTTGCTCTCCTTTACTTGTAACTTCTATATATTTTGACGCCTTTTACATTTTTTAATGAGAATATTGTTAATTTTAATTTATTAACCTTATCAAATATAAGGTTAAGAAGCTTTCGATTCTTATATATGCAATAATTTCGAAGAAAAATATTAAATTTGATGTAAAAAAAAGGAGAAATTTGGTTCAATAAAAAATAGTATAGTATAAGAAAGGTGTACGAAAATAATCAAGTGGTCCCGTAGCTCAGTTGGTTAGAGCGTTGGTCTTATGAGCCGAAGGTCGCGGGTTCGAGCCCCGCCGGGACCATCTTTTGTATATTGGCTCGTCAGTCACGCGAATCAATCAACCCACCCGTTAACCGGTAAACAACGTTGACCAGTTTAAAATCAGATCATTCATTTTACAAGAAAACGGTCAAGATTCCACAAAGATACTAGCTGTCATAAACTCATACCCCATGAAGTTCCCTAACCAAAACAATAATCACATGAAAAACATCCATTTTGCTTCCATCCTCTTCCAATCCAACACTATTGAAAAATGACCACTTGATTTCATCTGACAATTCTAAAAATTCATATTCCATGCTACTAATGCAGTAATGTATAGACAAATAAAATCTGCAGTGGAATTTATAGATAGGCAGCCTATCTACCTTAAAATGTCATTGTTTGTAGTCCTGTCTTTGTTGTTAGCCCATCTCCCTTGAGTTGAACTTTCTCAAAAAGAAAAACCCAGCCAACACCCACTAAGACAAACTCCCCCAGCTCTTCATATCAGTTGTTGAGCCCCTGATTGATGAGAGAGATATCAAAAACATATTTTTAATATAATTTCTCTTTTTCTTTTCTTGTAGACCAGCTTTTTTATTCTTTTTGAGACCAAAACAAAAAATAAACAGAAGGAAAATAAATAACAAGAGTGAGGAAAAGCTGGTAATGGGCCATGACAATCCACATTCCACACCTATCCTTCTCTTATTTTTTTTCTTTGATTTCCGGCTTTCCTTCTTTTTTACTACAACTTGTACTATTGGTGTCACCAACTTTTCCTTTTTTTGGCCCTCCCAAAATCTTTGCTTTGAGTGTCTTCCTTCCTCTGAAAGCACCTCCTTTTTGGTTTTTTGACAGCTTTGTTGGTAAGTCATTGGTAACCCATATTTTTGGTTTGGTTTCTTATTGCTTCTGGTTTTGTTTGCTTTCATAAGGGAAACAAATGTCATTTTGGTGATACCCATGATTGGGAGGGATGGATGGGATCTGGGTTCTGGATGTTATTAGTATTAGTAAGCGAATTTGCATGGAGTCAAAATTTGAAACTAATTTTTCCTCTAAAAATATAATCTTTGGTTATCTAATATGATGGGGTTTATGTTGCTGCCGCATTTTTCCGCTTCTTGCAATACTGTCTTGTTTCTGTTAGTAGATAGGTGGGTGACTGGGATAGTTGCCTAGTTGTTCATTTGGTGAAAAGTTTGCTGATTGAGTTTTAGGAATTGGGAGTTACTTTCCATGAATAAATGTTCCAACTTTCAAATCAAATCATGTTTATAGCATAAAAAATCCTAACTTTTAAACTTTCTGGCATGTTCTTGTACGGAACTGAATTATTTGTGTTCCAAATTTCCAGTTTCTGATTATTTTTGCATTGAAAAATACCACCAGGTTGATGCTAAGTTGGATACAGATACTTACAATCAACAATGGGTTCTGGAAATTTGTTGAAGACAATGATAAAGAAGGTGAAAGATGACGGCTCAAAGCAAGTGAAGGTATTTACCAGCTTACAAAGGCTTTTACTTAACAATCATAAATTAAGCTATGCAAATGTTTCTGTTTTCTAGTTATAAATAAATCTGAGTTTGCTTCTCAGATAATTTATTTGCAATTTGAATCTTTTGGATTAATGTTATCCTTCAGCCAAACCTTTTGTAAGGTTAATCTTATTTACCATTGGAATGATATTTTTGAAGCTTTTAATTATTTTGATCTCTCACGAACACCAAGCTCATATTAAGCCATAAGTGTGAATACCACCTTCCTTGATACCATTTGCTTCATTCACTTTATCATTTATTTGATCTCCTTATTGAGGTAAACTTGACCTTGTAACTGGTCTCATCTGTTTGGCACAGGGATCTTCAGCTTCTACAAAATCCAATGGCTTCAAATGGAAGAAACGCCAGCAAAAGGCATCCAGTAAAACGAGTTTAACTAGTGGAAATTCCAACACTCTTGGCATGCCAATTGAGGATTTAGCTGCAACTCAGATCCAAACTGCATTCCGGTCCTATAGAGTATGTTGATGTGCTAGTTCTATAAATTAACATCATAATATGTGAGCACATGTGCTTACGTGTATGCATTTACTCATCTATATGCATGTGTCCCATTGCATTCGTGGTTGTGTCTCAATGATGTTTTTGTCACTGAGTAATCAAGAAACTCTTCCAATTGTTGTTATATATTATTGTTAGAGAATTGCAAGTTGACATATCTTGAATATGTAAGGTATTGCCATATTGCTGAAAAGATTTTCTTTCTTCTAGGAAATTTTAGTGTATGCCATTGTTCTCTGTGCCTTGTTTATGAGGTGAATAGTAGGCACTGAATATATTATACTATAAAGAAGCATGTTTGACTATCATACTGGATGTCATGAACCTGACAACAGATGGTTTGCTTGCTATGGAGTTATTTTGTCATAGCATCATGCCAATAAGAATCTTCTTGCTCTCTGTTTTTGCTTACCCAAAGAGTCTAGTTGTCAGATTCAACCTGATTTTACTTATTTACTTTTGGTGATAGAACTATCTAGTATTTCAACATTGTAGCTTCAACACATTTAATTGTATTCTGCTTGTTAATGCATCATTCTCAGCTCATTGAATCACCAAATTGGAGTGACTGGTATTTGATAATTTATTGAGTGCATTTGTGCAAATCTTTCTAATAGAGAAGCAATATAGGCACATGGTATTGTATAATTAATTGATATGGAGACCATGCGTCTAAGTATCTCCCCTGTTTCTAAATTCAATTATATGTTGAAAATGCAAGTGTGGCTTTTGTTCTCCTCTTTCGCCTTTTAATCCACTTGAAGGTATCTTATAAATATAAGATACATGTTCAACATTGAGTAGGTAGAATGGTTTAATAATTTCTTTTCTCATGATTCAGGGTAGAAAACGTTTACGTAGATTGAAAGGTATAGTAAGATTAAAGGCTCAAACCCAAACTTATTCCATCAAAAGGCAAGCTACAACAACATTAAATTATCTTCATTCATGGAGCAACATACAGGCTCAGATAAGAGCTCGTCGACTCTGTATGGTAACTGAAGGTTGTCTTAGACAGAAGAAAATAGCAAATCAGCTAAAGCTTGAGGCAAAACTACATGACTTAGAGGTTAGATCAACAGCCCTAGCTCATGTTGACAGCATGCTTGTTAAGGCTATTCATCTTAAACATGTGAATTCATCTATGATTGCTATTTTAAGCATCTTACTATTGTGGATAATTAGCATCACATTATTTTCCATGGGATCGTGTTTTACATTTAATAATCAGTACAATTTAAGAGCTTGCCAGGATTCAAGTGGGAGAAGGTTTGATGTCTGGATAACAGTGGGAATGGTCATTTGGCATGCATATTCTATTTTATTGTCTATTGGTAGTTTTTGTTCATTCCAAGTCACCTTTCATTTTCTTAATGAAGTATGTGTTATGATTTGATATACTAAATTGCAACAAATCACTGTAAACAGAAATCAGAAGACAAATTGTTGAGGTTTAAATCTATGATAGCCTAGAATCTTGACTGCAATGATCAAGGAATCTATTGTTTTTAATTCTCTTGAGTTGTTGCTTATATAGTTTTTTATTTATTTTTTTGCATCACATTTCTTGTATTCCATCTTTACCTATCTGTATCTAAGGGGACATTTTGTCTTTTATCAGCTTTCCTGATATGAATTCTACTTTAAAAGTAAATCATCCTATAGACTCCAATTCCTGTATATTGCAAACTTATTTGATGCTCCTGAGTCATAATGGTATGAGTAGTCTTTAACAGTTCATGATACAAGGTGATGTCTGAATCCTTACTAGTGGAATTATTGGATGAAGACTCGCTCTGATCCAGAGACCTTTTGATCCCTTTAGGCTTGTCTTAGAAATTAGAATAGCAAAGTTTATGTCCTACTGTCTACAATTTTATTAGCATTTTTTAGTTTAAGATGTTTGATATTTTATTTGTTGGCAATGTGTAAAATATTGGCTTCATTTGTCAAATCAAATAATCCCAGGTGCTCCTAGTTCCTGTTGAAAGGCTCCAGATATCTTTGTTCTTCTATTTCCTCTTAAACTACCCGCTGTAGGCCCGCCTATTCAGCTCTCTCTTAATAACGGTTTAAATGGATGACAGGTGGAATGGTCTGGTGGCCATGAAACAATGGAGGAAATTCTAACAAAAATACATCTGAGAGAAGAAGCAGCTGTTAAGAGAGAGCGGACTATGGCATATGCCTTTTCCCATCAGGTATGCCATTCTCATGAGCTGTCATTTTTGTTATTTTAGTGAAAGTTATACACGCAATCACCGTGAGTTATGCATGATTTGCAGTGGAGGGCCCCCAACTCTAACAATAATGGGCTTGGTAATTATGAGCTTGCTAAAGCTAATTGGGGTTGGAGCTGGGTGGAACGCTGGATTGCTGTTCGCCCATGGGAAAGCCGCCTCCCTACTCAGTCCATTACCCCGAAGAAAGCGCAGAATAGGCATGTAAGCAAGGCTGGTAAAAACTCAAATTCACCGAAACCAAAAGCATCAGTTTCAGTTAAACCCCGTGTCCAATGGAAAGGGAACCATGAAGCCTAGGAGGTTGTCGTACCCTGGTGCTGAGAAACCAGCTGCACGTCAAGAAAGTACTAAAGCTGAAGAAGCAAACGGTAAAAAAGATGAGATAGCGACTTAGCAGCAAGCCGAAGATATAGTTAGAGTGACCATTTGGTTTTCAAAAATTCGTGTTGCGGAAAACTTATCAGCTATGAGTGAGCACATTCCATTTTCTTTTATTTTGGTGTGGAAATATATATGTATTTATACGATGTTTCTAGCTTCTTGTATATGAAGTGGTGAGGGTATGCATTGCATGAGAACAGAAATTAAAGAACGGCTTGGTTTTGGGGCAGTAATGGTGATTCTTTCTAGTTGTTGCTTTTGTTTTCTTTTCGTTTATCTTCTGTTTCGTATATCAAGAAATTTGTACTGCAATATCCCGATTCAAATTCCACTGTTTGATTCTGATACCATCTTCCCCTTCCATTAACAAAGGAACTTTACAAATTTGTTAGCAGAACTTCAACTACCTTTGCCCGCTTATTGGTATCAAGATTGAAGATTCACATTAGATGCAGACATCAAAATTAGATCCGAATGGCGTGAAGTTTTATGCTTGGAGCAGGCCTTTTAAAGACTGTCTCTATTTGCAGCCTTTTCTATAGGTAATCGCCAGCCTTTTTTCTTCTAGTTGAACTACTATAATGAAACTCCAGCTCTATCCTTTAATTGATTCTTGACAGAAAACAACCAGCTTCCTTGATGCCCCTTGATGTTGGCCCCTTGTTCTCGTAGCTTTGACTGCCGAGCAGATGGAGGCTCTACAAGTAATCACCAGAAAAGGAGAACAGGCCCTCTCTCTTTAGTATTGGGGGTAGTTTTGTTGCTTATCCATCCCTGGAAACGTTTATCAAGGTTTTCCTCTTCGACTCTTTCTGTATTGTTTTACCCTTTTTAAAACAGTGTATGAATTGCTTGGCTCAGAATTAAAATGGAATGGATGGGAGAGAAGTATCTTCTTCACTTCTTTGACTATGAGATCGAGAATAAGAAGTCAACCTTCTCCAAATCTATATAACATATTTATTTATATAGAATATGAGTTCAATGGGGATTCTAAGTACAATTTTAGGGCAGCTCAACCTTTTTGTGTTCTTTCTTGAAGAAAACCGGGGAGAGAAAGAGAGCATGGAGGTAGAGCAAGAGAGATTGGACCACTAGCAGGGTCCGATCATTGATGGTGGCCAGGGACAGTGAAAGTGAGGATAAAAATAAAACGAGGCCCACAAAGGAAAGACAGAAAAGAATTATTACTTCATAGTTGAAAAAAATAAATTTTGAAATGTATATTACTGCATGGTTAACCAAATATTCAATTAATTGCAAAAACATGTGAAGTAATAATATGATTAATATTAAAAAAAAAAATGAATAATGTTAATTTATAACATAATAAATAAAAGCAAAATTAATATATTAACTATTTGAGCAATTTGTAAATTTTTTTGTTCAATTTTCCCAAAGTCTAAATAATTCTAAAAAAAAAAACAAATAAGGGATTAATGCATTATTAATAAGTTATGATTAGCTTCCATTATAAAAATAGTTGGTACAGTTAATAATGAACATTAATTCATTTATTAGTGGAAAAAACAGATTATATAATTGATATAGTTTGTTAGGTATTGAATTTTAATTACCATAATAATTAAGGTCAAGGAAGGCAACTGTCAAAGCATAAATGGACGTCCTGGATGATCCGGATCAGACAAAGTCAAAACAATAGTTGAGAAGCAGAGAAAAATCTCAAAACTCAAGCTCATGGGTTCGTACAACAATCCCAGATTAAGATCTGATGCACTCGAAAACTTGGCTCAACGGCTTCGCCTTTATAAACCGCCTCTTCTTCATCAAATCCCAGAATCAGTTTCTCATGAAATACAATGTTCCATTGGAAAATCTGTCAGCAACATCCCAGAATCAGATTACCACCATCCTGAAAAGCTCAAAAGAGCTGCCGTTCTTGTCTGTATCTTTCAAGGAAACAATGATGATCTCCGTGTAATACTGACCAAACGTTCATCAACTCTGTCTTCTCACTCTGGTACTACCTTGATATATATCTTGTCTCATGATGTCTTGATGTTTTTTGGGTGTTAAAAGAGTAAGTGGGGTGTGGTTGGTTTTAGGTGAAGTTGCATTGCCTGGAGGGAAAAGAGAGGAAACTGATGCTGATGATGTAGAGACTGCATTGAGGGAGGCAAAAGAAGAGATTGGCTTGGACCCTTCGCTTGTCAATGTTGTTACTGTCCTTGAACCAATTTTCACCAAGGTCAATCACTGTACCTTGAATTCGGCAATCTGGTTTCAAAATTCTATTTGTAGAAATATAATTTTGCAAGGAATTTGATTGCTTCATCTGATTAATTTTAATGCCGTCATTTGTGACAGTACTTCAGAAATCTAGTATGTTAAATGTGAAGACGCTCCATGGCTAACCTGTTTTTTTCACTATGCCATGGAAGGAATTCATAATTTAGATTTAAGTATCCTATTTTGGCGAAAAAGGTTGGTGGTTGCTTGAAAAACCTGGGATCTATACCCTAAACTGATCACCCCACCATCAGCGATCTTTGGCTTTAAGAGATGAGGTAGCTAGGTTGCTAGATTGATGTTGCAGATGTGCTATAGGTTATAGCCATGAGAAACTGTTCTTTTTATTGCCCTTCTTAATGTTGGATTTCGCAAGTGTTTCTCCTAGCATGTTATTCCACCGGCTGTTTTAATTTGAGGTCCTTCAGCATCATTAGGTTGCCTGAAAATGGAAATGATAACTTCAATTGTATAACATTGCTGTTTCTAGGCATACTTAACTTTTAATCTGGAACTTGTTTCTGTTCACAGCGTCGCATGATGGTCGTCCCTGTGGTGGGTATACTGTCAGATGCAAAGGCATTCAGTCCATCTCCATGTGCGGATGAAGTGGAAGCAATATTTGATTCTCCTTTGGAAATGTTTCTCAAGGTATTATTCTATTTCCGTTGTTGCTCCTTGGCTTCATTACTGGTTGACAAAAAGGAATCTTATTACATTACATTGCCTTGATTTGTGGTTTATCTCATTGTGCTGAACACAGGATGAAAACCGGTGGGCAGAAGAGAGAGAATGGATGGGAGAAAAGTATTTGCTCCAGTACTTTGACTATGAAGCAGAAAATAAAAAGTACGTGATCTGGGCATTGACGGCTGGAATCTTGATCAAGGTTGCATCAATAGTTTACCAGCGGCCACCTGCTTTTCTAGAGCTGAGACCGAAGTTCTGGGATATGGCCATAAGTAGGGACATCCCTAAGCTGTGAATTCAGCATTTTCATGGTTTCATATAGGACATTGTGTTTAGGATAACCTTTCTACCAGCCTTCTTTACAATCATATCATTGAAGATTACAAGTGCATTGTCATGAAGCAATCCAAGTGCCACCAATTAATCATGAATTATTTTTTAAAAACAGATCCTCTGGTCTTGATTGCATTTACATATGCTTGATAACTTAGGATGTATATTTTTGCAAACAGTAGCTAGTAGGCTAGTTGCACTAAGTTCAACCATGAGTTCATGCCTGCTCATATAATGTATGCTGAGTGCTTGGTTTTGAGCTAAAGTTCTAACATCGTGTCTTAAAGGGATGATATGGTCTGGCAAGCACTATTACTGCAGCTGACAATATCATCGAATTCAAAGCAGTAAAATACCACCAATTGATGACAGTATAATGGGCTAAAAGAAGGAAAGAAACGAAGAAACCAAATCAAAGGGACTGAGAAACTAAACTATTTAACTCAGAGGAAAGAGCATATAATCAACTATGATGCATTATAGGAAACAATTTAGTAAAAGAAACCTATGCATCATAGGCATCCAGAAAGTGGCCAGCAGAAATTCTAAACAGAGTATTCATTCATAGCAATCTTCCCTTCGTTTTACTCTTCCTTCACATGACAGACCAAGAATCTAGTTTGATTTGAATGTCCCACAATATTGGATTGTATCAAAAGAAAGGCTAACAAAATCAACGAAGGAACAAAACTAAGAAAACAATTTGGAAGCAAATAAAAACATTAGAAAAAGGACTTTCTTATGCATCTCTCAGACAAAAACCTCATAGAATTTCTCAAGGACAAGTAAACCAGAGTCAATTGACTCCAAAGGATCCTTACGAAGACGGTGCCGCAAGCAATTGGCAATGACAGTGGCAATATCTTCTGCAGTGACTTTATCTCTTCCCTTTAGAGCAGCAAGAGCTTTTGCAGCTCTATTAGTCACAATATCTCCTCTCAATCCATCGACATTCAACTCAGCACAAACCTTGGATATTTTAACCTTTAGATCATGATCAATCTGAACAGAAGAAAGAGAACTCCTAGCTGAGGCAATCTGTTGTTGGAGCTTCTCTTGCTCTGCCTTGTAAGAATCACGGAATTCTTTGGGGTTTTTGTCAAACCTAGCTCTCTCCTCTACAATCTTCACTCTAAGTTCAGCATCCCTCACAGTCCCCACTTGAGCATGCATTCCAAACCGATCAAGAAGCTGTGGTCTAAGCTCCCCTTCCTCTGGATTACCTGAGCCAATCAGAATAAACCGTGCAGGATGTGAGATGGAAATACCTTCTCTCTCAACTGTATTCCATCCTGAGGCAGCAGAATCCAAAAGAACATCCACCAAGTGGTCATCTAAAAGATTAACTTCATCCACGTAAAGAATCCCTCGATTGGCTTTAGCAAGAAGCCCAGGCTCAAATGCCTTTACACCCTCAGTGAGGGCTTTCTCAATGTCAATGGTTCCACAGACCCTATCTTCAGTAGCACCCAATGGCAAATCGACCATGTTGATTTTACTCATTGTAATTGTCAGTTCCTCTCCTTTTGTAATCTTCTCTCTGACTTCTATACCCATTGATTCTGGATCTTCCGGGTCTGAGTTATAAGGGTCACCAAACACTACCTTGATTTCGGGCAATAAATCAACCAAGGACCTAACAGCTGTGGATTTCCCAGTTCCCCTATCACCCATGATCATAACACCTCCAATCTTGGGATCAATCACATTCAACAGAAGACACAATTTCATCTCATCCTGTCCTACTATAGCAGCAAATGGATACACTGGTCTCTGACTTTCTTTAGCAGCAAGCTTCTGAGCCTGAAAATCATTAAGTTCACAAGCTTCATTCACATAAATTCAAAAGCTATCATTTACAGTTCTGCTATGCTCTATATCCTCCTGTCCAATAGCGTTTTCTTCAAACACCCAACTCTTCAGGTGCTATTATAAATATAAAAAAATTAAAAAAAAAAAAACAATTTCTTCAAATACAAAACAGAATTACACAACTCTCCAAGATGCCACTTTTATTTCTAAAGATTCTAAACAACCAAATAAATGTTTGATCTCAAAACGGCATGAAATAAAAGAAGAGAACAAAGTTAATTAAATACCTGTTCAACAGAGTTAATCTCAGTGGCAACATTAGCTACTGCGATATGAAACTGTGGCCTTCCCTTCCTTCCCTGAATCCCAATCCCTCCGTAAAACTTTCTTCCAGAACTCTGCCCTGAACCACCACAAAAAATGTCAAATCTGAGCCCATGGAAAATACCCAAAGCCTAAATCTTACATTAATTTGGTTTCATACTATCAGAACTGGAATGCGAAGAAGATAAAGTGAAGTGCATAGTTAAGTTAGTTTGATAGAGGAATGTACCTGAGTTAATGGAGATAGAGGGAATGGCAAGCTTTGAGGAAGCAGAAACGAGAGACCGAGAAGCTAAGATTGCGGTTGATGAAGTTCCTAGTACGGCAGCCATACCACTCCCTGCCTTTTTTCTTCTCTTTTTCAGTGAGTGGTGTAAATCTGTCACAGTTTATAAGATTACTTGACTCTCGCGGCTGGACATGGTTTCTTATTGGTTTGTTGGGTTGCGGATAAGAAGATAGATTTCATTCTTTCTTTGCCTTTGCCTTTGTCATCTTGTCACAACTCATAATGTCATATATTAATTGCTATAAATCTTAGAAATATAAACCCCATAAAGCAGCTTAATGGTGCATAGAGCCTAGAAACTTTGTAGTAGTATATTTTATTTTTTTTGGGTACTGACCAAATAAAACAAAGTTTGAAATATAAAATTGATAAATTTAAAATTTAATTTTGTTGATTTATATAAATTTGATGTATAAAATTTAAAATGTATAATTTATTCTCGTATTTATGACTTTTTATAAAAAATAAAAAATAAAATTTGTTAGTTTAATTTCGGTTTTATTATATAGGGACCGCTTAGTATTTTTTTTCTAAAAAAATGAACTGCTATAAATCTCACATTTTCTGGTGCACAATATAATTGCCTTTTTTTTTTTTTTTTCTTTTAATTGTTAAAAACGTGGCCTGGAATTGCCTTTAGAGACAGGGAACCAAAGAAATCACCGTTCTTTAATGCTCTTTATCGCTTTACCCTCTTTTTGTGCAATTAAACAAATTACCTAATAATTGTCTATTTTTTTAAATATTTTCTATTTCATGAGATAAGATTTTTCACAAGAATTGGTACTAATTTATTATTAAATTGAGCATTAAACATTAGTAGGCATCTCACCATCATCTTGATAGGATTCAAAAGCCAAATACAGGACTCGAAATTGACGGCTTAATAGCTGAGAGCTCAATAAAACAGGCAATAGAGAATTTATTAGCCAAATTCACCACAAATAAAAAGCAAGACAAAGCTCTGGTGTCAGTTTTGCCTAGCGTCAGATATAAATACAATGCGGCAACAAGACAAATCGCTATCAGGATTCAGGACACAGCTCAAATGTCAAATTCTTCCCTACTAAAATTTTCCATCTCTTACCTGAAAGCAGGCATGGCACTCTCACGCAAGCTCACCAAGACTTTAAACCCTTTAGTCTTGCCCTTATTGGATGAAAGAAAAAGCATCGCTCCATTCTCCCATGGAAATTGGTTGAAAGTGGCAACACAGTTACAGGACCTCCCCAACCAAAATCTACTGCTGAATGGCCCAAGTGTCTCCAATCTGTGAACCCACTCACTCCTTTTCCAGCTGTGAAAACTTCTTCGTAGCGCAGCTCTTGTAAGTCAATAAAAGAACGCACGTGCTCATCACTGGCATTGCTTTTGCTCTTGTTGATCAGCTCTGCCGTTTTCCACAGAGGCTGCTCAATTAGATCCTTGGCGCTGAGCTTTGCATACATTGCAACGCAACAGCTGCCAAGTATCCAGCAGGTAATGGTGGTTTTACTAGTTTGCGGATGTTCATTAAATAAGCAAACTTCACTGTCTCATCACCTGGAATCTTAGCGGCTTTCATCCTGTTTATATCAACAATGAAAATCACCGGTCATAAATTCCATTGAGCTGGTCTAAGCATTCATCCTCCACATTAAAACACTCCCTCACAACACGTCCAACATCCTGTTTTTAAGGGTTGAACTCTTTCTCCAAGCTCAGAAACTCCCGAACTGGGCCTTCGACTTTTGGCGGTTTTCTTGGACACAGAAGAGCAGCTCGGACCCAAACAGGCTCAAATTTTACCTGGGTCCACTCCACGTGCCAAATCAACCTCCATACAGAAAAACTGGGTTGCACCAAGCCCATCACACAAAGCATTATGATTGGCCGCCCCAACATTTGAACACCGTTACTTGTAAAATACAGGGGTTGACCAACGTTTCTTCCGGGCTCGGGTCAGGAACCAACTGTTCAACTGAATTCCTATCAGGGACATCAAGGTAATTTATTGAATCCAATGTGCAGTCCACGCTGGCATTGACAAGTGGTAGGCATTGATCCACCTCACAAAAAAGCTCACACCCACCGTTGCTGGCACGGCAGAGAGAGCCTGCCAGAGGGTAGAAGTGGTGGAGGGCGGTGGAGTTGGCTGAGGAGATGACCTGGCTCCTGGCGTGCTGGTAATAAAGAATACATTTCTTAATAATTTCTTTATCCCTAGACATTTTTAAATAGCTGTTGAGGAATGGTTGTGTAATGTGGTCAAGGTCAGAAACTGAGCGAAATTGTGAAGTTTCTAATCAAAATAGAATAAAATAGTTTTGCTTTTCTCATTCCAAATCGGGTCTGGATACTGGAAAACTAATCCAAACAAAGTCCAACTTGCTTTAGGTAAAGGGCTTTAGCCCATATCAGAGGTTCGTGTCAATCAGAAGAAACGGTAACTTAAAACGCTTCGTATTCACTGCCTCAGTCCCGCTTCTTCAACTTCAGAGCTATAAATACGGAGCACATTTGAACAGAAAACTCATCATCCAAAAACCTATAGTTTCTTCTCCTCCTCAAAGATTTCCTTGACCAATTTTCTTTCCTTCCAAACAGTCTCGTTTCTCACATTCTCTCACAAAGATTAAGGAGGCAAGTCTCCTCTCTTTCTCTCCCTAGCATTCAAGTCCTAAACCTTGTAAAATCAAAGATACCGAGTAACACCAACTGCAGGTTTTCTTTTTATACCTTTGATTGAAAATTTGAAACATCTATGGTTTTGAATTTTGAATTGATTTATTGAGCTTTTTTTTATTGTATCCGAGGATCGATTTGGAATTGACCTTCGATTTTTTTTTTATTATATCAGATCGGTTTCGGTGATCGATTCTTTTGGCGAATTAACTCCCGGTTTTTGAATTTGTAACTGTGTTAGGCATTGGATCAGTTTGATTTCATCTTTAACTCTCTGTAATAATCACACGATTTCTTTGATGTGCATTGTCTTTATATTTCTTTCTACTGAATGTGCTTTCAGCTTTGTTGAAAGATTCTTTGCGTGTACTTCTTTGTTACTAATTTGATCTAGAAATTTTTGTTGATCAGGTTAGGTCTATTGAGTTGACAATCATGTTGTGTTCGAGTTTGATCCCTGATGTTTTACTAGTAAAGTGTTTTGGAGATATGCATATATTCGATACACATTGCTATTGCATGCATTAGAACTCGTGGTTGATATATTTCATATTCAATTTGATTTTGAAAGGGTGCATGTTGATGTTTTACATACCTGCTTTACATCGAATTATGAAATATGCTATCTGATGTGAATAAGCAAAGGAACCTCATCGGTAATGCATTACTCCATAAACACTAAGCATTTGGTTTGCTAACATCTGATGAGCGACATCACATGATTCAAATTTGGTCCACTACTCCATGACCTAATGGGTAGTCCATTGATCCGGTCGATTGGTAATCTGATGAGCAGCATCACATGATTCAAATTTGTTCGATTCGGTTTTCTAACATGTGACTTTTAAGCTCATTGATATTGTACTTACCTATAGGAACTGGATCAGTATTATTCGCCACAGGCATTTGGAGGAACTTGTTGTCACTTGTCGCTTTTTTTCTCATTATATTTGCACTTGTCACTGTTGCTTTGATCCTTGAGTCTTCAATATGTTGCTGGAACACCATTTTATTTTCCTTTTATTCCTATTGTAATTAATAGTGACAGTCTTTTGGATGGCTGCAGTTGAGAATAAGTTTTATTTATGTTGCCTGCAGATGGCAGAGCCAGAGAAGACAAGTTCTTCAGCTGTTGATTCAAAAGCAAAGGAGAAAAGATCAGTACTAGGTATTCCTGTGGCTGTCCTTACGCGTGGCATGTATTAAGAAATTCAACTTAATGTTTTTTTTTCTGTACCCTTGTCCTGGAGAAGATAGTAGCATGATAAAATTAGGGTCATCTTCTAATTTTACATTCCAACTCCCAACTAATTGGCAATGTCTTGACCCTAGTGGTTGTGCTAGAAAGTTCTAGTATCTATAAGAAAGACGTAAAAAAATGCTTTAGACAAAAACGCAAAATGCACAGTAGGTTGCAGCTATATAGTGGATGTCCTTAATAAAGACACTGTTAGAAACAATATCAGCATCTTGTAATCTCATTTTGGAGTTGGCTAACCCTTAACCTTTTGTGATTGATTACTCTGGAAATCTCTAGGTGTTCGCTAGAATAGAAATGATTTGTCAATCAATTCTAAAGTCTGAGGATGATGGAAGTAATCTTTCTAGTGTTAGCTGTTTCAAAATTGAAATGAATTATGTACTGAGATCCTATATTCCACTCAAAACAGATGAGGAAATTGGAAGGGACTTCCTTAGCTCCTGGAAGTCTATGACGGTGACACAAGACGATGCTCTGGATTTTAGCTTTGAGACAATCTCAAAGGGCAAGAAAAAGCCATTTAACTTTGACAAGCTGTAAGTGCTGCCAATTCTTGGAGCTTTTAGTTTGCTATTGTAAAATGAGGGTCTCATTGTATCATATCAGAACCTAGCTTGGTTGGTCTCTTCCACGTATCATATCAGAACCTAGCTTGGTTGGTCTCATTCTGTTTCTTTTTATAGTGACTTCACTTTACCCTCGTTTTTGGTACACCATGTGTTCTTCAGTATAGATTCAACAATGTGCTTTATGCCATGCAACTTACTTTTAGGAGTAGGATAAAAAATTGAGATATGTATGAACCGTCCACTGCTATTTAAACTCTTATGAAGACATATTTTCTCCTCAGGGACATGGATTTTAATCTGGATGGTGATTTTGAAAAGTTATCATCATTCAAAATGGACATGCCCGATCTTGACTTCTCATCACCCTCCAAACAAAATGCAAAAGCTAAGGAAAAATCTAAAGAGGAAACTAACAGCAGGAAGAAACAAGTGAAAAGAGATCGCTTTAGCTTCTCTTTTGATTTTAATGAGTGAGTGGAAAGCTTTTATGTTGAATCATCGCATTGTTTTAGCTTTCAATGTAAAATCTTTTATTAGCCATATAAGTCAACTTCACATTCAAATTTTTCATTAGTTAGCTTGCATCTCTTGTCCACTGCAGGTTGGATGGTTTTGATTTTGATTCAAGCCCAACGAAAGAAGAGAAGACTTGTAAGAAAAGCCAGGACAGCGAAGCAGTTGCTTCTGAGAGTAGTGAAGTTCCTAAAATTGACCGGGCACTTGAGGATGATTGCATAACTGCAAAACTTCCAGCATCAAAGGATGGAACCAATTCAAAGGGTGAGACATCCAAAGGTGGGGTAGAGGCTTGCAATTCCGTAGATGATTCCTGTCCTTCAAAAGCAGTTCCTATTCAGAGGCTTGTGCCTGGAAATTTGGTTTCAGCACAAGGTTCAAGAATTTCTCCAGAGAAAACAGGGGATTCAAATGCCAAAGAAACATATAAATCAAGTCCCTTGTCAGAGAGGGCAGTTTCCTCAGAACTCTATGATCAGAAGTTCTTAAAAAGTTCACCCATGGATTCCCTCATTGGGAAGAATTCAAACCAAGAAACTGTTTCCTATATGCAGGCAGAAGTTTGTTCACAGGGAAGAAGAATAAATACCAGTTTAGCAGCAGAACACAATGTTTGTGACCAAATGATAACCGATGAGGTGTCCATTCATGAAAAATTGCACTGGAAGAACTCATTTGCGCTATCAGAGAGTGATAGAGATGACAGAAAAGGGGCAGGTGGCAATATCCTTAAAGAAAGAGACGATGGTCGATTGGCGAAAGGTGGTATAATTCTGAAAGATATTTCCACTGCAAGTTTATCAAGAGAAATAGACCACACTGAAGCCAAGGAGGATATGCAGAATCCAACTCCCGAACTTCCTTTGGTTTCATCGGACAGGTCAGATAATCCACAAATCTTTTATAATGTGCCATCAATGCTTAATTATTGAAATGTTCTTTTGGCCACAAGATAGGAAAAGTATTGAAATGTTCTAATCATTGATTTTGTAGATGAATTATTGAATGAGAGAAATAGCTGATGATAAGTTAAATCCCATGTTATTAGTTATAGGTTTGAAGATAAGAAAGAAATAAAACTCCTGCTACTGAACTGCTTAAACGACACTGATCAACAAAGTGCTTGCTATTTTATGCTAACATGTTGCTATTACCTTTGATGCTAAGCATTATATGCAAGTTTCATATTGCTGCTAACTTTGATTTACTAGAAGCAGTGAACCAACAGTCACTGATGTGACAGCAAGAAAAGACAAAGAAGCTGGGGCTATTTGCTCGAGGTTTTTTAGAAGATCAGAAGAAACCAAATCTCAATTGCATCAACCATCACCAACTGGAAAAGAGGTTTCATCATTTAGCAGAAAAAAGATAGGTGACATGCATTTTTGTTCCTCAAATAAGAAAAGGTGTGCAATGCTTTCTCTAACAACTGTAATAGTGCTGTTCCAAGATAGATAGACTCTTTATACTCTTTTCATCTTCGACAGGGAGGATACTGATGGTAGCGAAGCACAAAATGGAAGAAAATTGGTTGGTTATTCAAAATTAAGTACCCAGGAATTGACAAAAGGGAGGCCTGTTTTGCTTCTAAGTGAAAAAAATGTTGGAAGTTCTAGTGATATCAGGTGAAAAATTAGTAAATTTCTGTAACAGTGTTATGAAATTTGCTCGTCCGTTTTGAGATGTGATTAGAAATTTTAACTTTAGAAAAAATAAATATGTAATATTTCACTTCTTATATGATATTATCTATGCAATGTTTAACAGGGATGGTTTCGATGCTGATGCTGTACAAAATGGTGGCAGCAAATTAATTGGTAAATCAAGTGTGCAAGATACAGCAGCTGCTAAAGGAGAGCCTGTCCTTTTAAAAAGTGAAAAGAATGTTAGGTGAGGCATCATATTTGAGCTTATATTTATATTTGTCTGTCAATCTTAACTCCACAAACATGATTTTCTCATGCAATTTTTAGAATAAGCAAAGTAAGCACGGGTATACCTGGCATTTAACTCTGATACTTGGTCAAAGCTTCATCATTGTGTAAGTGAAAGGTCAAGATGTTCTTGTAACGCATCCAATTGGGGATTCTCATTCCTTGGCATGTTTCATTTATTCATAAATTATCATGGACAACTCACTTTATAAATGAATATCAAAATTACTCAGATGAGCTTTGATTTAGTTATTGATTTTTTTCCTCTTTTCAAAGATTATCTTCTTTCTTTGGGATATATATTGCTAACATTTCTTAAAACTTCTATACTTTTCTACTGTTTCTTGTTTTATCTTGTGAGTCTTTTATTTGCATAATTGTGAATTTTCGATAATTTGATCTTCATCTTCCATTAAAATGTTAAAACTTAATGTATATCATTTAGTGCCTTTAATCTTTCCATTGCTTAATCTGCTCATAATTTCTTTGGAACCTTTAGCAAATTGTTGACTAAGCTTTGCAAGCTTGTGTGGATTACTTGCAGTTTGCAAGCTAATCCTCCTAACTATGCTGAGAAGACAACTGAATGTGGTAGCCAGACATCCGTAAATCCCAAACCTCAGGTTCCAAAAATAGAATCCATTCAGAACTCAAAATTTCTTTCAGAAGTACTTAAAATTGCCAAGAAAGCACCTGGTCTCTCTAGCTATAAAAGCACAAGGTATGATGCTGATATAGCATCTCAATCTTCTTCAAGCCCTTTATATGAGGGCATGCTCTCTTAAATTTTCGTAATAAAGGCCGCCCATTCCTAATGTAGGACGATAGGACCAAACAAGGATAAAAAAAGCTCTAAGAGGGAAACCAATTCATTGAGAAACTTGGAGCAAAACAAGGATACGCCAGGAAATACATCTAAGATTGTCCTTCCCGTTGGAAATGCTGAGAAACTAACACCAAAGCTCCCATCCTTGAAGCGGAAAACATTTGAGGTCCCCTTTTATCTTTTGGATATGAGTTACTGCTTTCAATGTGCTATTATCTTTTATCTTTTTCATTAAAAAAATGCGGAATTATCTTTAAATACAATGTTATTACAATGGGTATTCTGTTCAAGCAGCTGTAAAGTGTGTGTTCATGTAATTAATATCATGTGCCACTAACATTTGTTCAAAGCCATTCCATAGGAATCAAAGGGAGACTTATTGGTGTTGAAACCCCTCAAAAGGCTTTCGCAATCAATCAGTGAAAGCAGGTGTTATTACTTTTGAACTCTACACATGACATGTTGTAACCAATTGCAGGCCTCTTCGCTAGAATAACAGGTGATTTTTTTAAACTAAATAAAACTGCAGGAATTTTAAAGAATCTTCTGAAAGTGTTGCAGATAAAGAGGTATCTTACCAACCAAACTCATACATCTCTGCATGAACAAAGGCAGGAAATCCTTGTGCAAATCAGTTGTATTTGCTACATTCTGACTTTAATTACTTCAAACATTTATGCTAGGTTCAAAATCAGCAGATTCACATGGAGGATTTAACAAAGGATATTCTCTGTGACCATCTAACCTCTGGATCTGAAGTTCCTCAGGAGGTGAATACGGCAGAACTGGAATTTCCTTCAGTCATGGAAACTGATGGAAACGTGGAAAAGGCTGAAGCTTATGGAAAGGAGCTTGAAGATGTAAGTAAAACAAATCAAATAAAGTGTGATGCTTTGAAGTTCAGATTGTCACTTACCTATTTCACTTCAAAAGAAAAAAAATCAGTAATATTTATACAGTTTGAGTGAATTTAAATTTGATTTATAGTCCATTTAAGATATGAAAAGTTGAAAACTATCTGTGCACCAGAGGCGGATGTTTGGTAAATGTTCTGTTTTCTTTGCAGATATGCAGCATGCTAAAAAAGAAACATGAGGAAGCCAAAGAAATATTGGTTCGAGCTGTCGTGAACAACAACAATTTACTGATGCTTAACCTTCCCATCTTTAAAGAGAAGATATCCTTTACATTTTGTACTACTATTTCTTGTCATAAAACTTTCCGTTCTAACTTACATTGCACATTCCTTCACGATAAAAAAACGTTCGTATGGTTCAGAAATTTGCTGAACTATTGATATCCAAGGAAATGCCAACTTGATCATTAGCGAAGACGGCGCATATATAAGGTCTCTCTCTCTTTCTCTCATACATAGAGACATGTAATTTGACTTCTTCCCCCTTTTAGTTGATAAGTTCTTGTTCCATGCGAATCTCAGGATTAGGATGCATGTTCTCCGCTCCCGGGAAGTTAGGACCGATGGCTCTTTCACATGCAGAGTTAAACAACATGGTTAGAAACTTTGCAGTATAAATGGTGATTGCATACAGTTGTGTTTTCCAGCTCTCTTCTTGCATTTATCTCATTGCTTACTCCTGCTTAACTCTTGACTCATTGAAAGCTGGTACTTGAACCAAATCTTTTATGATGCAATAAGTTGGTACTAAACAATGATCAACTTCCTTAAAAATCATGTAGATAGTTGAAAATGATCTACAATTTACATAATTTCTCCTCATTTTCATTGGTTGTAATATCTTAAAGGCAAGAACCCTAAATAAACATTCGAAATTCTTGTCCAACCAATGATTTATTAGCAGGCATAGAGAATTGAAGACTCCAAAAGCCCCAAACCCTGCCTTTAATTGTGTAAAACACTGCAAAAGTACGGAGTTGAATTTTCAGTCATAAAATAAATTTAATTAACATATTCATATTTTATGTATTATAATAAAAATTTTTAAAATTTAAATACAAATTAAATATTTTATTATAATTTAAAATCTTTCGTAACATTAACTCAAGTAAAATTTTAGTTTTCCCTCTCCGTGCCCCAATTTGTACAGCAGCAAAAATGTGCGCCTTCTCCATCCAGCATGCTTTGACCTTCAGATTCATTCAAACCTATAAAAAAAAAGCATAAAAAATGTTTACGCCTTCACCTTCCCCCCATAGAATCAAAATTAAAAAAAAAAAAAAATCATCCCAAACCAAAACCATTTTTTTCTCCCTTCCAAAATTCCCTCCATGAAACTTAAAGTCTAAACTAAAACAAATCTAAACACCCGAAAACAACTTGAATTGAAATCTTTCCCTTCCTCCCCTCCAAAACCCACCATTACTTATGTCTCCTCTTCCTCTCCTCCATATCACCAGTGCCTCCCATCCTTTCTTTCCTCCTCCTTTCTCTCAATCAAAACAAAATGGCTGTTCTCTCCCTTTGTGAAAATGACAAGAAAGAGAACATCCCTCCTTTCTCCTCCAAAAAGCCTGCATCTGTTCTCACAAAATCTTCACCTCCCACCAGTCAGAAAGGAAGAATAAGGAAACCCCTTGAAGACATTACCAATCTCGTTGTTCCACAAATCTATCCAACTCTGGATCAATCCAACACAACACTTCTGGTTTCTTCCCAATCTTTGGTTTACCAACCGAAATGCAGAAAGAGGAGACCTGAAGATGGACTCGAGTCAATCTCCAAGAAAACTCAATTGGTGTATATGAGTATAAAATTCAGATAGTTTAAACATCAAACCCACAGTGCAGAGGGGTGGTTCTTTTGTCAACCACTCTAAATCTGCCGATTGAGAATTTTCTTTCTTTTGTGAGTGTTAAAGCACTTTAAATTATACATTTACACAAAGATTTCATGTTATGGTATGTCTCAAAATCAAAATACTATGACCTTTATATTATACTAATAAAATCATTGGATTTTCCCCTCTTTCATGTTTTAGAATCTGCTGAGTGATTGGATATTTGGATTGACAGCGCAACAAATTACTTTAAATTAGCTAACGGAGTTGGAGGAACAAACATTTGGATCCTATTTAAATTTGCTTCAGATAAATGTATATATTAATCTAAGCCTAATCTGGCCAAAAAAAAAGCTAAGCCTCAAAAGAACTCCTAGTAAGTACTGTCAGTGTCTGTCTCTGTGCTCTTTTCAGGTTTATTGCTTGTATTTTATCCTATCCACGATTAGAAAATAGACTTGTTTTTTCGCAATCAGGTTATCAGACAAATGTGATCATTTTCATAACCTAATGCAAACTTATCTCTTCTATGTTCATGGGTTGGTGGTCCAATAAAACCCGTAAACTTGGCTTGTTTTGGAATGGGCTTGAAAATTTGTGAATCTATGATTTTTCAAACCCAAATTAGGGCCCAGCCTAAATTAATAGTACTGGTTTATTAGTACATTTTATTTAAGACTTTACCATATTCAAACCCAACTTGGGCCTAGTCAAATCTGAGTATGTGGGTGGTTTAGCCTTGTTTTTAAGATTTGGATATGAAGTTAAGTTCAACCAATGGACATTTCTTTGGGGAGCCAATATTTTGGCCCTTAAGACTGACAGAAATAAAGAAAAACAAATAAACAATCCAGAGAAGTGATTGAGCATCTTTCCAATGGTTATCAGTATCACATCTTTACACTTTCGTATCTTTAGGAATAAAAGAGTGACTCTATACATAATTTTTAATTTGATCAAATCTCAAAGAAATACTATCTGATCTATTCACCAATAAAGTCCATCGTGAACGGAACAAACTTGGCCTACCTTAACATCAGTTGACTGTTAGTTTCACAAGGTTTTTCAACCTATGAATTGATGGATCTTCATAATCATTTCCCATAGCAAGAGCATAAAGGTGAAGAACTCAAGAATTCAAGCAAAGCAAAAATGGTTTTGTCAGCAGACCACTTTGATTTAGTGGATTTGACATGTGTTTTAAGGTTGTAATAATAAAAAAAAATCTTAGATGAGATAAGATCGATTCCTAATAAAGACAAAATTAATTATTATGTCTGTTCGTGCCATTATTTTTAACTCTGCTTGAGTCTTTAAGAGAAGTCGAGAGGACGTGACTCTTCCATGCTCAAAAGTGGATAATGAGAAAAGTTGAATTTGAGGAAGGCTAGTCAGCGGCCGGCTTTTTTTGAATGCGTGAATCAAAGTCCTCCAACGCTGAAAATTACATGTACCATAGACATTTATACATCAATCTGCGAATATGAATCAGGGGTCAACTACACTTAATGATAATCATTTCATGCTTTTGTGGGTATTTTTCATTGGTATTGTCATGGAGAGTAACGTTTCTGTGGCCTATATATATACTTCCTATTCAAGCATGGATCCGTACAACAAGACTGCAGTATCTAAAACCACTACAAGAAAATGGCTTGTTGGCGGTTTCTTGCATGCCTGATACTGATATTGTATTCAGTTTCAAGGTCTGAATGTCGCCTTCTAAATCAAAAAATTGAGGGGGAAAATCCAACCAGATCTTTTAGAATCCTGTCCCTTGCTACTAGGTCAGGAAGGTGTATCGGTTTAATATAGAGATCAGATATGAGTACACAAACAAAAACTTGTACGAGTCAAAGCGTCCAAGTCCTGGGGATCCGGATCCGAAACATCACTGATTTGCAAATCAATAGCAATGAGTTTCATGAGAGCCAGATATAGTTATCAGCATATATCAGGCCAAAATGCAGCTAGTATCTTATGATGAAAGAAATAAATTTGTCATCAGAACTGGTTGTACTGACAAAATATGTTGCATGCAATGACAAATACAACTATGAAGTAATGAGATCGATGCATCTGGTTTATGTTGTTCGAATACAATTCGGGTAAGATCTTTGGTTTACATTCTATCTATTTGATATAAATAGTATAGTTTTAAGAATGTGCATGATGATTTAGAGAAAAACTTTAACTTGGACAGAAAAAATTGACCCCGGCCCAAAGTGAATTTCTTTGGTTTGGCAATCACGCTCAAGGAAAGCTAAATCTGGGTGTTTGTGCACCTGGATTATACATTACGCACATTTATCATATGTTCGATCGCACTTCTAAATGATCCTTTTATAGTAAAGTGTTAGTGTGTTAGTGGTTGAAGCATGTTAGTGTGTTAGTGGTTGAAGCAACTAAGTATGATATTTCTGCTGGAACTTTTTGATAGCAGATTAGTCTAGGTAAAATGATGGGTCTGTGCATGGTGACCCATGTTGTTAGGCCAACTACTTTTGTATTTTTGAAGCCTATAAATTAATGAAATGAAGCTCATGATCATATGAGTCAATTTACTTTAAGTAACAGATTAGTTTCTCTTGTTTTCTGCTATAAATCCTTCATAAAGTGATTAAGTTTTCTCCTCTTCCATATGATTTTCCAAATCTGCTCAGTGATTGTATTGATGGCTCAAATACTTTGATCGATGAATAAAATAAAAAGTTTGGGATAAGATACAAATTAATTAAGTTGGCTTCAGAAGCCAAAAAATGCTACCACTCTGCTTCTTTCAGATCTGTTCACCCACAATCAGAAAATAGACTTCAATTTAATTCAAATTTATTGGTGGGGAGCCTGTGTTTTGGCCCCTGCAAATGACAGAATGCAGGAAGAAAAAAAAGGAAAACACCAGAGTGGATCTATTCATATTGCATAATATCACAATGTAAACTGATCAAAGCAAAACTATCTGATCTCAGAATAAGATGAAATGGAACAAACTTGGCCTAAATGAGTTGACTTACTTTGACAATAATTTTCAACCTATGACGAACTTGGTTATAGAGCACTCAAGAATCGACCAAGGTGAAACATTATTTTTTCAACACACCACTTTGATGTAGTGGGTTTGTCTAAAAGCTTCTCCGAACTTGAAAGAAGTGACTCTTCGATATTCCCCATTGGATAAGGAGAAAAGCTAACCTACTCGGCATTCTCAAATGCCTAGAAGATTTAGTCTCACAGTAATCAAAGACAGATTGAACCATACAGAAATGCTGAAAATTTATATGCACCACACAAATTTGCAACAATCTGCGAGTATGAATCAAGCATATTGGATGCTTTTGGAGGTTCTTTTCTCCAATTTGATTGGTTAATTAAAAGTAACATTTCTCGGGTCTATATATACCACCTCTTCCAATCTTGGACCTGCACAAGATAAAGACCACATATGGCTAGCCTGCGACTTTGTGCATGCATGATACTGATATTGTATGCAGTTTCATGGTCTGAAAGTCGCCTTCTTAATCCATACGCTGAGGGAAGGAACCCAACTAGGTCTTTTCGAGCATTGTCCATTACTGCTGGTTCAGGGAAAGTGTATCAGTTTAGCATTCCACTCAGAGATGAATACTCGAAGAAGAACCTGCACGAGTCAAAACGTCTGAGTCCTGGAGGTCCGGATCCAAAACACCACTGATCAGCAAATTGTTAGTAGTGGAGATTTTCATAGTGCTAGATATAGCACTTATCAGAATCATGGCACAAAATAGCTAGTGCTGTACCTGATGATAGGAATTAAATTAATTGTCAAATGCAATAAGTGCCAAATTAATATGTTGTATCTATTCAATTTTTATTGAATAGAATTTGTGTAATAGATTATCTCTTAATAACTAATTGTTCAATTATTAAGAATATGCAATGGTTTATGAAATTTAGCACTCCTGTTCTTGGCAGTCTCTGTTAGTAGTATTCTCACTCTCTTGAAGGACTCCTGCTCCTCTTTTTGTCAAATTTCCTGGAAAATGGAATGCTTACATAAATTTGTTTGAGAGAGAAGTTTTCTCCCCAATGTTAACTTCTTTAGTTTGGCAAATGTTCTCT